TGAGAGGTTTGATCGATTCAGCCATCAGAGAATTCAGTACGAAGACATGCGTGCATTTTAAAGAGGTCTCAGGAAGTTACAGTGGAGATCACATTCGGCTTGTTGGTGGTGGAGGGTAAGCCTGTTAACTAACTACGAAAAGAGTTTCACACAGTTGCATAAATTTTTATATTTAAGAATTGCCCCAGAAAAGTTGTCCTTCAATTAGCAGCCATATATGGTAATCTTACCTTATTTGGAAGTACGATAGGACTGATTTTTGGCATTTTTCTCGACTTTTAAAGCTTGAAATCGTCTGAAACTTGCAGATATTATAGCTAAAACACTTCATAACAATCGGCCATTTTGTTTGTTTCCAAATATGGCATGGAGTCGCTAAAGGAAGCCCAAAACTAAAAAGCAAAGGAATCCCGCACGAATCACATACAATTCTTTGATATGCAATAGAAAAAAAAAATTAAAGAAAAAAAAAATAGAAAAGAAAGAAAAAAACTGAAAAAAACTCACCACGTAGTATATACTTTTAGTTGACACGCCTCTCGACCAATCAGAAATCAAGAAAATTTATAATTGTAGTAAAAATCCGATTTATCTGTTATATATAGCTGTGGCTCTTACGTCGGTCGACGGGGCGGTGGTCAGAATGTATATCTAGGTCGCGGTTGTGAGTATGTAGGAGTAATCATACACGAGATGATGCATGCACTTGGTAAGTGACATTTATAATACATGGGATCCCTGTATTGCGAAGATTTTAGATAACGCGTGAATCATTTATCCTGGCCACCCATAGAGTCACATGCCAGGTATTTGGATTTCGACTCTTATTTCTGTTTTAATTCCATGTAAACTAGTGGGAAGCTGGAGGATTATTACATTTAAGAGGGGGGATTACTACTCTTCGACGCACAAAAGGATTATTTACCTTTGAAAGAAAATTATCATCATCTCTCCTTTTCGTAAAGTTCTGACGCGTGACCAGCATGCTTTTTCAGCTCTCTTTGCCATAGGAAGGATTAATTCCCTAGTAACCCTTAACTCACAAGTGCGTCTTCACTGCCGTCTGTATATTTAGCTAATTGGTTGGGAGCATTAATGATTTGCTATCCACAAAAAAACAAAGCGTAATAGACTWATCCCACATTCGCTTGGATGAACACAAAACAATGGCTTCATTTCGAGGCTGGAGTTTTCGACAAAAGATAAAACTCCAGCCTCGAAATGAAGCCATTGTTTCTTGTTCATCCAAGCGAATTAGGGATTGGTCTATTGAGACATTTCTCTACTAACGATCTTGGGAAAAAAATGAAAACMAAATACTTTGAAAAGGTAAAGAACTGTAACTCTTGAGAGTAAACTCGAAATTTTTCACCGTATAAAAGGTGTTTTACGGTTTARTTCAATAGTATGTTTCAGTTAGTCCTTATAAATTTAGACCCTACTGTTTTTTTTCAAGGTGTATATCACGAACAAAGCAGACCAGATCGTGATAGATATGTCGAGATTCTATGGCACAACATTCAACCAGGTTGGTTAAGCTATTGTCTAGGTTTAAAATAGAGAGCTTTACTAAGCGTCCGGCAAACTCCTCTTCAGTAATTTCAATCTCTAATAATACTAACAATACAACAATACAAACAATACAA